ATTCTACGGCTCTAGTTTTGTTTCTTTGTATTCTACAGTACTTGATTCTACGGCTCTAGTTTTGTTTCTTTGTATTCTACAGTACTTGATTCTACAGCTCTAGTTTTTCTTTGTATTCTACAGTACTTGATTCTATGGCTCTAGTTTTGTTTCTTTGTATTCTACAGTACTTGATTCTACGACTAGTTTTATTTCTTTGTATTCTACAGTACTTGATTCTACGGCTCTAGTTTTGTTTCTTTGTATTCTACAGTACTTGATTCTATGGCTCTAGTTCTGTTTCTTTGTATTCTACAGTACTTGATTCTACAGCTCTAGTTTTGTTTCTTTGTATTCTACAGTACTTGATTCTACGGCTCTAGTTTTGTTTCTTTGTATTCTACAGTACTTGATTCTACGACTAGTTTTATTTCTTTATATTCTACAGTACTTGTTTCTATGGCTCTAATTTTGTTTCTTTGTATTCTACAGTACTTGATTCTACAGCTCTAGTTTTGTTTCTTTGTATTCTACAGTACTTGATTCTACGACTAGTTTTGTTTCTTTGTATTCTACAGTACTTGATTCTACGGCTCTAGTTTTGTTTCTTTGTATTCTACAGTACTTGATTCTACGACTAGTTTTGTTTCTTTGTATTCTACAGTACTTGATTCTACAGCTCTAGTTTTGTTTCTTTGTATTCTACAGTACTTGATTCTATGGCTCTAGTTTTGTTTCTTTGTATTCTACAGTACTTGACAAGAGCCGTTACAAATTCATCCAAGCTAGTTGTTAACTTTCCCATGGGAACAATGTTGGTACTCTGAGTGAAACTAACTATTCAGAACATAACATTATACAATTTGTCCTTTGATAGATGAAAACCTTGACTTTCAATAGTAGGAATATTTACTAACTTAGTGAATACGATGATCGACTATTTATTGTTCATGAGTGACGAACTAGAATAGATAATCCATTTACTGAGGAGAAACAGATGATTTTTCACAGGATACAGTGCACCTGAAAATATTCATAGTTTGTGCCCCAAACATGATCAGGATTGTTCTGAAAGCACCTAATTTAAAAAATTTGTTGGGGGGCTCATGGCTCTTCCTGAATCATCAGCCAGATTTATTCGTACTACGTGCTCATAGCCTGTCTGTGGAATTTCAGTTTTTTGTTTTTTTCCTGTTGACATCCCTGTATATTGTTCATGTGTTAGTTTAACAATAGTTTGATATATTGTTCAGGAGTTTGTTTGACAGTAGTTTGATTATATAGTTGTTGGATTAGTTTAACAACAGTTGGATATACTGTTCATAGATTAGTTTAACAATGATTTAATATAGTTTTCATGGGTTAGTTTGATATATTGTTCATGGAATAGTTTAATAATAGTTTGATATATTGTTCATGGGTTAATTTGATAATAATTTGAGATATATTGTTCATGGGTTAATTTGATAATAATTTGTGATATATTGTTCATGGGTTAGTTTAATAATAGTTTGAGATATATTGTTCATGAGTTAGTTTGATGTATTATTCATGAGTTTGATAATAGATTGATATATTGTTCCTGAGTTTCATATTGTTGGTAAGTAACTCTAACTATGGTTTGATATGTTGTTGATGAAAAACCAAACTAAATATATATATGTCATTTATGATAAAATCCATTTTTAATTAGATCATTCATTTACAACATACACTTCTTATAATTTTTATAGTGTAAACATCTTAATTATAAGACTACCAATATAGAACATAAAAAAATGAAACTTCAGTCTTAAGAACAAATATCATAGAATACAAAGAAACAAAACTAGAGCCATAGAATCAAGTACTGTAGAATACAAAGAAACAAAACTAGAGCCATATAATGCCCATAATAATAATATTGTATTGTAACAATGCCACTAGCACCTTTTGTTGATGCCCATAATAATAATATTGTATTGTAACAATGCCACTAGCACCTTTTGTTGATGCCCATAATAATAATATTGTATTGTAACAATGGCACTATCACATTTTGTTGATGTCCATAAGAATTATATTATATTGTAATCTTAAGAAATTCATTGTATTGTAACAATGCCACTAGCACCTTTTGTTGATGCCCATAAAAATGATATTGTATTGTAACCTTAAGAAATTCATTGTATTGTAAAGTTAAACTAGTCCATTTGCTGATATAGCCCATAGGAAGTCATTTTTTCTGATAGTGTCAGAAGAAGTTTTACTGAAATACGGTATAGTATACCACTATTTTTAGTTGCTTAGCACTTAAAGCAGAAATATGTATAAAAATTTTAATGATTAGCTCCAGCTGTAGAAATAAAAGCTAGTGAACTGTATAAATGTTGGATGTTTGCTGTTTTAGCAATCAGAACAGCTGAAAATGAAGCATCTGAAATTCTTAAGAAGGTAATGCTTACAGTTTGTGATAAGAAATATAATTTGGTTAAAGTTGATGTTCATGTTTTTTATATTTATTGTGTTTTTGAAATCTTGTACTCGCTAATTTTGTTATAGGAGGTGGAGGCAAGTAGCTAATGTATCTTTATAAAACCATGCTGGGCTGCATATTTTTGTGTTTACAACCCTCTTAGTTAGCCCATTATGTATTTCAAGTCAAAGGTGTGTAAAAATAGAATTTTAGATGTATGTTTTGTTTCTACAAGTTACTACTCACATGAACTTTCATTTGTCATGTGGGCTGGAGATGATGGTAGTATATTGATATTTTATATGAAAATTGTAATGTTATGGTTAAGTACCAAAAGATAGTAAAGCCATCCTGGGCAGTCTAACTGGTGAATTCCAGTACTGAAAGAAGTGCAGTGACTTGTGATAGGCTTAGGATAGATTTAAAGTACTGTATTTACACACCTCTTATTTCAAATTTATAATAAGATAGATGTTAGAAATATAAAATTCTGTAGTTTGGTATGATTTTTATCATGAAGACTTGGTTTCATTCCTTCAATGTTTAAGATCATGAATATTTGGTTCCACCCCATTAGTATTTAACACCATATTATGACTTTTGTTTATATTTTAAACCAAAAGAAAAAAGGACAAATCAATTATAAACCTGAAGATGTAGTGTTAATCTCAGAATAAATTACACTGTACCCGTTTTGTTGTAATTGTTCAAAGTTGAAATCCATCAACATTACTCTTTTTTAAATACTTTTTATTATCTTTAATGAGATATTGAGTATTGTTTCTCAACTTCATATAATTAATTTCTTATTCATGAATTATGGAGAATGTAGACAAAGTGGTCAGAGAAGCAGAGGGTCTTCTGAAACAGGTTTTGATTCTAGTTTTGATTTCTAGACTGAAATGAAAGAGTCATGGTAAGTATAAATTCTTCTATATCTGCTTACTGAGTCATTGAAAGTAAACATAAAGATTAATGTTGTTTTTCTCCATTTAATAGCAGCCTTAAAAGATATAGACTATTAAAAGTACTAGTGTACTACATTTAGTGGCCTGTAGTGCATTTATTTGATTAAGATTTAATTATTTTTGTTTTTAGGCAAGAAACTGAAATTCATCCTATGCCCTGGACATTAATCCAAATCTTGAAGTACATTCAAAGGTAATGTTTTTCAAGTGTTTTTTATCTGTATCAAAAATATTTTACTAAAGATAAGGCAAAGAGAAAATGTTTAAGAAATATACCTGGTTCTTTTGTTGCTTTGATCAGTAATAGTTTAAGGTGTTTCTATCCTTAATTTTTACACATCTTTAATTTTAAATACACAGTGGACTGATTACAAGAGATGTAAAATCTGCACTCCAGATATGTTGATTTATCATTAAAATTATATTTTGAAAATAAGAATTAAAAAATACCTTAATAGCATAATGAGGAAATTAATTTTTTCTCACAGTGTATCTTTTACTAATATATATATATATATGTATATATGATTATGGATTTTAAGAAATGATTTGTTTTTGATGTCTTTCATTTTTTAATGGTTCTCTCAGCAAGAAACATTAAAGTGAGAATGTTTGCATTCTGTAATTTTGAAATCTTATTTATAAATTTCCACTGATATAACAAGTAGAATTATTGACTGTGCTGTGAAAAATTATACTGAAATTTCTTGCATAGGTTTGAACTTTTCTTTCAGATATTTAATATGGTTGTTTCATAATAGAGCTTACTTCACTAATTGGTTGTCTTAGTATTTTATATGACCTACTTCAGTTATGATACCAATCTAGTTATTATAATTTTCAATTGTTGTCTTAGTCTTTTATATGACCTATTTCAGTTATAATACCAGTCTAGTTAGTGCTAATTATTTACTGTTGTTAGTCTTTAATATATTTCAGTTATAATACCAGTCTAGTCGATAATTATTTACTGTTATGTTGGTCTTTAATATGATATATTTCAGTTATAACACCAGTCTAGTTAGTGCTAATTATTTACTGTTGTTAGTCTTTAATATATTTCAGTTATAACACCAGTCTAGTTATTGCTAATTATTTACTGTTGTTAGTCTTTAATATATTTCAGCTATAACACCAGTCTAGTTATTGATAATTATTTACTGTTGTTAGTTTTTAATATATATCGGTTATAATACCAGTCTAGTTTATAATTATTTACTGTTGTGTTAGTCTGTTTATGATATATTTCAATTGTAACACTAGTTTGGTTTTATTGCAGCCATTGGAACACTGTTTTTGGCTTTATATTTACCCGAGATGTCAAGAGTATTATTGACAAACTAGTGAATGAATTGAAAGACTCTCAAGGTATCCGTTTTAGACTCATGCTATAATTACTTTTCTCATTTAACCTTTTGTTTTTCTCTCGCTTCAGGTTTTCCCAAGGATTCTAGGTTGTTAATAAAGTTGCTTAATTTTGTTAGAATGATTAAACTCCTGAAGACCACATCAGTTGAATTTTTAATCTTTGATATCATTAACATGAGTCACAGTTTTGTAATCTTTGTTGTGATTAATTAATTTTAATCATCCATGAAACCAGCATAAAATTCTTTCTGTAACATTTGTTACAGAAAATTTTTTTATGACATTCCTTTTTTCTTTTAATGTTTTTTTTTCATGTGTTTTCCAACAACTCATCACGTTTCCCTAGTTAAAAATAAAGTTGTGATCTGTTGAATAAAACTTAATGTATGTTGATAAACTTTTCTTAGTGCTGATTGATGTGACGTATGTCACCAGCAATGCTAATATACAAGTACATTTTGTTTTTTAAATTCTTGTCTCCTTTCAAGAGGCTACTTATTTTTGTAATTGTGTGGTCATAGAGAATATCTGTTGATGATTAAAAATTTTCTAAAAAGTTTCGTGCTTCTGCATTAATATCAGCTGTACCAAAATAAAAACAGAGGTAGTAGTGACCAGTATATTTTTTATGGAAATTTTAACAATGTTTCATATATGTTTGTGGGCTAGTTTAACGGTATTTTGGTTGTATTGCTCATGGGTTAGTTTAATAGTAATTTGATATATATTGTTTATGGGTTAGTTTGACAGTAGTTTTGTATTGCTGATGAGTTTAATAATAGTTTAATATATTGTATATGGGTTAATTTGATATATATTTCATAGGTTAGTTTAACAATAGTCTGATATAACCGACCTCATAACCACCAAAAAGAAAAATCAAAATAAACCTCAATTACTCTTTCTAGAATTACTTCAAATTGTAACATGAAACTACATTTGTTTATCCTAAGTAGCTCTAAGTTTGTAATAGTATACAACTATTTATAAATAAATTTTATTGTTTTATTGCCCTTGGAACTGTATCTAACTGCTATCCATGCCATTATAAGTCGTAAATTACTTTGGGAACATGCAGTTCATGTTATGCTAGCGAATTACATTACCCACAAGCTGCTCGTGTGTGCCTTGTGAAACATTTTTATTATAATATTATTATTATTATTTATTTTACCTAATCTCATCTTAACAAACCTAAAAGTATTCCTATTTTAACATTTTAGTTAGTTTTATAATAAAACAAAAAGAATCAACATGAAAAACAAGAAATAAAATACTTAACCAATCTTTTTTTTTTTATGTTGGTTTTTATGTTATAGATAGTAATGCACTTAATACTTTTTATTTCATTAAATAACGCACCAAAGAATATAGACTAATATCATGTAAAAAGTAGACAAATTCACTTACCTGTCAACATTTTCCTGGCTTTCTAACAATGCGATCAACAAAGGTTAAGAAACATAAACTTTAACAATCAGCTAATCACAGAATTCATTCAAAGTATTTTATAAAAACACATACTGTGTCAGTGAAATATCATCATAGGAACAAGTTTAAATTACCACAAGGAGACATGAAAAAGCATAATACCAACAGTTTTCCACAACTTTAGAGAATTCTACAGGTGTAGGTAAAACAAAAATAAAAAAGCACCAAAAACCTTTTCAGGTTACCACCAAAATGAGATGAAATTAAAATGTGATAAATCAGAAAAATGAACTATAATACAGAACATATTTATAGTTTGATCTACAACACATTTGGAAAGTTTGGACTTGTATTACATACTTGTCTTTATAATTGCTGGGACTGAAAAATCAACTTTGAAAGTCTTTTCAAAGGAGCCTCTGGTATGTGCCTGAATACTGTTGACCAATGCTTTACGGAGAAGGTTTTTATCATTACACAGCAGCACCACCTGTTGTTTAGAAACTGAGAAAAGAAAACTTTATAACAAAAACATAGGTATTTCAAAATGTTTTAATTCCATATGAAGCATTAGATACTCTATGAATTAAATTTTGCTTTTAGTATTATTAGATGTTAACATTTTCCTGTGCTGAAAATGTATTTCCAATTGATTCTTATGCCACTAACATAACAGCTTTTCTTGACTTATACTGCCCTCTATATGTGCAAATTTTCACTTGCCACTATGAGAGGAGATAAGATATCTTATTGGAAGTTAACATTTTTCTACACTGAAAATGTATTTCAAGGGCTTTCAAAAGTTGGACCTTTCTTCTACAGGGGCAAACTGAAAGAAGAAAGGTTCACGTTTCGAAAGCACTCAGGTTATAGGGTTTCTATTCATTTCTATCAAGACTTCTTGAACCTACATGTTTTTCTAACATCATGAATGTATTTCCAATACATTCTTACCTCTCACACTTCCCACTCTTCCTCCCCACTTCCAGTGTCTTTTCATGTTGCCACATGCTCATGTGCATGCTATCATGCAGCTACCTCACATGAAAACATGTGAGGGTAGGTGGGAGTATCAAGGCGGAATGGAAGATTTTTTCTCTTCCAGTTCCCATGTCCAAGGTGAATGGTAGAGGATTTTCTTCCTTCCATGGCCCAGGTATTCCTGTCACGGTACTGTTAGTATTGGTTGAGGTTGAATTCTTCCACTTGCAGCCCACTGCACCCTAGTCACTCTACACTAGGGGGTCCCCTTATTTAATTTATGGGGTTCCTCCTTTGATTCACCCTTATTGTAACATCATTTTCATGTATATCTGGCTCAGAAGTGGTGTAAACTCCCATGGATGTGTCTTACATACTCTTTATTCACATATCACAAGAGTTTCTTTTGGGAGTCATTTAGGTCATGTTACACTGGTTCTTCCACCAGGTCATTGTGGGATTCTAGCTATTATATGTTCCTAAATGTGTTGCATGTATTATAGTACACTACAGTGCAACTTGTGTTCCATAGTGTGTTGTGTGTGTTACAGTACTGTGCAACCTGTGTTCCTAAATGTGTTGCATGTATTATAGTACAGTACAGTGCAACTTGTGTTCCATAGTGTGTTGTGTGTGTTACAGTACTGTGCAACCTGTGTTCCTAAATGTGTTTTAGTACAGTACATGCAGTTTATGTTTTTAAGTGTGTTGCATGTGTTATAGTACAGTGAAACTCATGTTCCCAAGTGTTGTGTGTGTTACAGTACTGTACAACTTCTGTTCCCAAGTGTGCTGTGTGTGTTATAGTACAGTGATGTCTGTGTTCCCCCAGTGTGTTGCACATGTTTTAGTACAGCACAGTCTGTGTTCCCAAATGTTTGCAGGTGTTATAGTACAGTACAATACAACTTGTGTTCCTAAGTTTGTCACATGTGTTATAGTAAAGTACAACCTCTGTTCTTAAGAGTGTTGCATGTGTTATAGTATAGTACAGTAGCACCTGTAAGAAATGGCTGTTTTGATTTAATTCTATAAAGTGTGAACATTGGTAAATAGAAGAGAGTTTATCATGTGTGTCATATGTTCACTGACCTAGCATGAGTTTGTGAAGTAGTTTAGTATAAAAGTCTTTTTTTAGTGTCCAGGCTGGGAAAGTCAAAAGAAAGCTGTCAAGGCCATCAAGTATATTTATGTCATGCTACGTAAGAAACATCCACGGTTCAGAGGACAGACCTTAAAAGAGGTAAGGTCTTCAAAAATAATAGTTATTTTTCTTTTTAGGCTAATTCTTTAATTCTAATCAGGACTTACACATGTTGATTGCACAGAATATGTAAACTTCAAAGGTTTTAAAGAAAGTTCAAGAAGAAAATTTTTGAAAGATATTTGAGGATTTACTATTTGGTCTTATATTTACTTGCTTTCAAAAGTCAGTTTGTTGTATGTAAACTCTTAAAATAAACATTTGCCCAAATGATGAGTATTATTGAATAACGGTTTCCACATGATAAAATCCTGAGTTTTGCTACTTGGAGTTATGACAACTCAACTAACTTTACAATAGAAAATGTTATATGTGGTAGCATTATGTGTTTTGAGTTGTGGAATCCAATTTACCAATACTAGTTTTTTTCTACATGTACACTGCAAATATAAGTGATTTTTAAAGTAGGTTTTGAAAAATAAAATGTGGAAATCAGTGATGATAAAGGAAAATGTGGAAAAAAATTTAAACTTCAAACTGGGGTTACTTTTGGCTATTACAGAAAATAAAGTTGTTTGATTATAATTATTGTATGGATAATTCATTCAAGTAAGACATTCTTTACGCTAACTAATATTGTGGGAGAAACAATTAAAAAGAAATTGAATTGTCTGTTAAATTGTAAATGTTTGTTTCATTTTTCAGTTTGTTGAGTGTTTGTTTACCATGAGTTACAGTACAGTACAGTATAATGCTTGGCAAATTTATTAAGTTAGTTTAGTGTTTTAGTTGATGTAGCTATTATGAAAATTAAAAGTTGTTAAAATACATGTAGGCACAGCAGCCTGTTCCTTGTGATAATGATGATAAAATTCTACAGTGTTGCCTTCAGCTTTGTGAAAAAGGTATGAAAATGTCTTAAGAATTTTTTAAATAATGATACAGTTTATAAAGAGTGAGCTTGCTTAAGTCATCTACTTTCTTTCAACAATAGTTAGATTTTCACTCTGAATTTATCTCTCTCTCTTCAGATAGCTGTTCAAAATTTTTTTTCTGTTTTGTTATATTTTAAACCTCTGCTTCAGAGAATCAAAATTAAACAGTGCTCATAGTTTTTATTAAATGTTACAAAATAGTTTTGTCTTCAAAACCAGTATTTTATAAAACCATTAAAAATAAACTATAATGTTAATACAAGATTCTTATATTAAACAATTAATATTCCTGGCTTACTTGTGAATATAAGAAAGATACCTCCAATTCTAAAGACTTTATGTATCAGCTTTATTGTATGATAATGAATAGTAAAGCCACAGCAACAATTGTAAACATCTTTAATGAATGTTTCAGAATTACACACATTCCACCTTCAGCAAACCTATGA